GACCATTTCCGAATTATGCCCAGCAATAGAAACTTTCCAGGTTTAAAAAAGCGTTCAAAATTAGCCATTTTGCGTCCAGGATTTTTCCTATGCTGGGCATAATTCCTATTTTCACAGGTAGGCTGTCTTTTGACGCCCTCAACCCAAAACGGAGCATTTCCGAATTATGCCCAGCAATAGAAAATTTCCTGGTTCAAAAAAGCGTTCAAAATTGGCCATTTCGCCTCCAGGATCTTTCCTATGCTGGGCATAATTCCTATTTTCACAGATAGGGTGTCTTTTGACCCCCTTATCTCAAAAAGGATCATTTCCAAATTATGCCCAGCAATAGAAAATTTCCTGGTTCAAAAAAGCGTTCAAAATTGGCCTTTTCGCCTCTAAAATCTTTCCTATGCTAGGCATAAATCCTATTTTCACAGGGAAGGTGTCTTTTGACCCCCTCACACCCAAAATAGACCATCTCCGAATTATGCCTAGCAAAAGAAAGTTTCCAGGTTCAAAAAAGCGTTCAAAATTAGCCATTTTGCCTCCACGATTTTTCCTATGCTGGGCATAATTCCTATTTTTACAGGGAAGGTGTCTTTTGACCCCTTCAACCCAAAACGGACCATTTCCGAATTATGCCCGGCAATAGAAAATTTCCTGGTTCAATAAAGCGTTCAAAATTGGCCATTTCGCCTCCAGGATCTTTCCTATGCTGAGCATAATTCCTATTTTCACAGGAAAGGTGTCTTTTGACCCCCTCAACCCAAAACAGACCATTTCCGAATTATGCTCAGCAAAAAAAATTTTCCTGGTTCAAAAAAGCGTTCAAAATTGGCCATTTCGCCTCTAGAATCTTTCCTATGCTAGGCATAAATCCTATTTTCACAGGTAGGGTGTCTTTTGACCCCCTTAACCCAAAAAGGATCATTTCCAAATTATGCCAAGCAATAGAAAATTTCCTGGTTCAAAAAAGCGTTCAAAATTGGCCATTTCGCCTCTAAAATCTTTCCTATGCTAGGCATAAATCCTATTTTCACAGGGAAGGTGTCTTTTGACCCCCTCACACCCAAAATAGACCATTTCCGAATTATGCTCAGCAATAGAAAATTTCCTGTTTCAATAAAGCGTTCAAAATTGGCCTTTTTGCCTCCAGCAGCTTTCATATGCTGGGCATAATTCCTATTTTCACAGGGAAGGTGTCTTTTGACCACCTCAACCCAAAATGGACCATCTCCGAATTATGCCTAGCAATAGAAAATTTCCTGGTTCAAAAAAGCGTTCAAAATTGGCCATTTCGCCTCTAGAATCTTTCCTATGCTGGGCATAATTCCTATTTTCACAGGGAAGGTGTCTTTTGACCCCCTCAACCCAAAACGGACCATCTCCGAATTATGAAAATTTCCTGGTTCA